TTTATTGTTGGAATTCTTTGATGATCTTTTTATTTTCTTTTTCTAGATTTATACCTAATTGTATCAATTTATTTATTTTCCCCTTTTTTGAGGTATAGTACATAGCCTTTTTTTTTTTTTTTGCCTTAACGAGTAAAGTGTAGCGAGGGAAAGTCAATTTCAAAATTATGTGCTGAAATTTTTCTTATGGCCCCGACAGTATTTATAGTCTGTCTGAATGGTTATTTATTTTTAGAAAAATTATCGGTAAATTCCTCATAAATCCCCATTGCAATGTTCAAGTTCCTTGTCAGTCCCTAAGTCTTTTGTTTTTCCTCTGCAATCCCTAATGCATTATTCTCTTTCCTTTCAACTCCCTATATATATATAACTATTATTATTTATTCATTTATTTGCTTAAAATCATAAAAAAATGGAAAAAAAAATTAGATCTCCTCTCTCTTTCTCTCTGAATTCCATCGTTCTCAGATCTCTCTCTCAATTCACTTTTCGCAATTCACTTGAATTTCATCGCTCTCAATTGACTCCTCAACACGTCTATTTAACTCACTGCTCCCCTTTTTCCCTCCTCCATCCGCCGGAGGTCCGCCGTCGGGCTCAACTCTTCGCCCAGCAGGACAGCTGTGTTTCAGAGATGTTCTGTCCCCGTCACTCGTGGCGGATTCTGCCTTAGGCTACCGCTCGAGCCCAATCATGTGGCCGATGAAGCGGAATGTGAGATTTTTGGGCCCGGGATTTTGCAATTTCGGACCCAGGTCGGGCGGCGCGGTGGTCAGGGCATCTGCGGAGGAGGACGCGGGTGCGTCTGCGGAGGAGGACGCCGGTGCGGCGGCGAGCCCTAAATCGACGGGCCTCACGAATGCTTTGGTAATAACGAAATATATGAATTGACAGGCATCTTACCCTAAATCGACGAGCCATAAATCGACGGGCATCTTACCCTTTATATATTGAAATATGTGAATTTGACAATCATATATGTTGATAACTATTCGTTTCTGAATTATATATTTTAGTTTCTTTTAATTGATTTAGTTTTGTGTGTTTGTAGTTTTTCCTTTTATCTTTTTCTAATTCAGTTCATGAATCCACCAAGCTAAGTCACTGCATGATGTAAGGAAATTAGCACTTGGTTCTTTTCATTACTTATTATAGAATGGGTGCATATGTTCTCTGTATGGGGTTTATTGCCAGCCAAATGATGTAATTTATTCGGAAATCTGAATGCATCATTTATTTCCAACCTTTGAGCCTCTTTTCTGTGACTTTAGGACTCATGGTTCTGCTTTTGCCTTAAAGTTAGATAACAATGTGCAAACTGTAGCAAAACATGTCTTATGTTATTATGATATCACTATCACTATATCACCTAGCAAGCTATCAGTTATGATAAATGTGGGATATTCCTTAGCTTTGGCATTTAGAGGATTGTTGGGTAAAGGCCCGCTGTTGACCCTACCCGATGAATACCCAATCGTGAATGCATACAGACTCCGGCTATTTTGTTGGAGTGATTGTGAAATGTGTTTTGTCTCTTGATAATTTATTCAAAAAAAAAGGTAAAATAATGTATATGTATGTGTAGATACTTTAAGTTGTGGTGGGTTTGTGTTTTTAAAATTCACACTTTGTTTCTGATTAATTAGTATATTTATTTTTCGTGTTCTTACCATATTTACATAATCGATAGGGTTCTTGCCGTATTTTCGGGTTCTTATCATGTTTCTGATTATTTGTTTGATTTTCTTATCTATGTTCGCCAAGTGTTTGATGAAATGCTTGTAAAATAATGTTTGTTTAACTTTGCTGACGATTAGTAAAATTTTGATGGATGTGTTGTGCTCATTTTTGTTGTAGATGCATTTCATGGAGGGTTTTTTTACTATTTTATACAAGTGTGCCCAGTTAATGTCATCCTATTGAGTTCTGGAAGCTTCTTCTAGTGTTGATCGGTTTCATATTTTAGAACAATCTAATTATTCAATATTTCGTAATTGAGGATAAATCACGAAGAACTCTTTTATTTATTTATTTATTTATTTATTTATTTTGCTTTTAGTCTGACTATTGAATCTAGCTTCTCTTCACATTAGTACCAACCTCATGCAATATTAGTATTAACCTTATGCAATATTAGTACTCGTTTTATAATAGTAGTACCTACTCTATAGAAAGAAAAAAAAATGATATGAAAGTTTTAAGGAAGTTGTAATATTTAAACTGTTAAAAAAAAAAAAAATTGATACCAATTTTTCTTCACATTAGTACCAATCTTATGCAATATTAGTGCGCGTTTTTTAATAGTTAGTACCTACTCTGTAAAAAGAAAAAAAAATGATGTGAATGTTTTAAAGAAGTTATGTTTTTTAACCGAAACCAGTTTTTCGTCACATTAGTACCAACCTTATGCAATATTTGTACTCGTTTTATAGTAGTTAGTACCTATTTTGTAGGAAGAAAAATTATGTGAAAGTTTTAAGTTATATTTAGTAAAATGGTACCAGCTTCACTACAAATGGTATCATAGTTCTTTTACGCAGTACCTGTTTTTAATCAGTTAGTAGTTACATTTGGTTAAAGGAAATGAATTACTCAATTTTGGTCGCAAATGATGTTTATACGACTCATGATCACTCCGACATTAGTTTATATACGATATTAAATGATTTTGATTGAGTTTAATCGCAAATTGGTCATAAACTCGACACATTAATGAGAAAACACTACTACTAGACTTCATTTCATTGAATGACACACTTTATCTCATAGAAATCATCATACATTACTACTTCAAATTCTATCTATATGTTTTCAATTTCACTTTTTTTCATTCAATCACGTGTGAATGATCCACGTGTCATGGTAGACATGAAGGATTAAAGAAATCGCGTTTTTGATAATAGTATCGGTTTTGGAAAATATGGTACCGCATCTTATCCTGCGTGGTACCTGATTTCGATCGAATAGTACCTACTTTTTGAAGAAAAATTGATTATTTCAATTCTGCTCAACATTTACAAAAAGTAGTACCAGTCATAGTATAAGTCAGTACCACATTATGGAGAGTTAGTACCAGATATCCTGTCCCTAGTACCACTTGTAATGAACACATAAGAAGACCGGATTTCGGTCGCAAATAATGTTTATACGACTCATGATCACTCCGAAATTAGTTTATATAAGATAGTAAATGATTTTGATTGAGTTTAATCGCAAATTGGTCATAAACTCGACACACTAATGAGAAAACACTACTACTAGACTTCATTTCATTGAATGACACACTTTATCTCATAGAAATCATCATACATTACTACTTCAAATTCTATCTATATGTTTTCAATTTCACTTTTTTTCATTCAATCACGTGTGAACGATCCACGTGTCATAGTAGACATGAAGGATTAAAGAAATCGCGTTTTTGATAATAGTACCGGTTTTGGGAAATATGGTACCGCATCTTATTCTGCGTGGTACCTGATTTCGATTGAATAGTACCTACTTTTTTGAAGAAAAATTGATTATTTCAATTCTGCTCAACATTTACAAAAAGTAGTATCAGTCATAGTATAAGTCAGTACCACATTATGGAGAGTTAGTACCAGATATCCTGTCCCTAGTACCACTTGTAATGAACACATAAGAAGACCGGATTTCGGTCGCAAATAATGTTTATACGACCCTTGATCACTCTGACATTAGTTTATATAAGATTTTAAATGTTTTTGATTGAGTTTAATGGCAAATTGGTCGTAAACTCGATACACTAATGAGAAAACACTACTACTAGACTTCATTTCATTGAATGACACACGTCATCTCATAGAAATCATCATACATGACTACTTCAAATTCTATCTATATGTTTTCAATTCCACTTTTTTTCATCCAAATCACGTGTGAACAATCCACATGTCATGGTAGACATGAAGGATTAAAGAAATCGGGTTTTTTTATAATAGTACCGGTTTTGGGAAATATGGTGCCGCATCTTATTCTGCGTGGTACCTGATTTCGATCAAATAGTACCTACTTTTTGGAAGAAAAATTGATTATTTCAATTCTGCTCAACATTTACAAAAAGTAGTACCAGTCATAGTATAAGTCAGTACCACATTATGGAGATTTAGTACCATATATCCTGTCCCTAGTACCACTTGTAATGAACACATAAGAAGATCGAATTTCGGTCGCAAATAATGTTTATACGACCTGTGATCACTCTAACATTAGTTTATATAAGATTTTAAATGTTTTTTATTGAGTTTAATCGCAAATTGGTCGTAAACTCGATACACTAATGAGAAAACACTACTACTAGACTTCATTTCATTGAATCACACACTTCATCTCATAGAAATCATCATACATGACTACTTCAAATTCTATCTATATGTTTTCAATTCCACTTTTTTTCATCCAAATCACGTGTGAACAATCCACATGTCATGGTAGACATGAAGGATTAAAGAAATCGGGTTTTTTTATAATAGTACCGGTTTTGGGAAATATGGTGCCGCATCTTATTCTGCGTGGTACCTGATTTCGATCAAATAGTACCTACTTTTTGGAAGAAAAATTGATTATTTCAATTCTGCTCAACATTTACAAAAAGTAGTACCAGTCATAGTATAAGTCAGTACCACATTATGGAGATTTAGTACCATATATCTTGTCCCTAGTACCACTTGTAATGAACACATAAGAAGATCGAATTTCGGTCGCAAATAATGTTTATACGACCTGTAATCACTCTAACATTAGTTTATATAAGATTTTAAATGTTTTTTATTGAGTTTAATCGCAAATTGGTCGTAAACTCGATACACTAATGAAAAAACACTACTACTAGACTCCATTTCATTGAATAACACACTTCATCTCATAGAAATCATCATACATGACTACTTCAAATTCTATCTATATGTTTTCAATTCCACTTTTTTTCATCCAAATCACGTGTAAACAATCCACATGTCATGGTAGACATGAAGGATTAAAGAAATCGCGTTTTTTATAATAGTACCGGATTTGGGAAATATGGTACCGCATCTTATTCTGCGTGGTACCTGATTTTGATCGAGTAGTACCTACTTTTTTTTTTAAGAAAAAATAATTATTTCAATTCTGCTCAACATTTACCAAAAGTAGTATCAGTCATATAGTAAGTCAGTACCACATTATGGAGAGTTAGTACCAGATATCTTGCCCTAGTACCACTTGTAATGAACACATAAGAAGACCGAATTTCGGTTGCAAATGATGTTTATACGACTCATGATCACTCTGACATTAGTTTATATAAGATTTGATATTTGGTTAATTAAGTTCAATCGCAAATTGGTCACGAACTCAACACACTAATGGAAAAACACCTTAATATACTTCAACTCATTGAATGGTACCAATTTATACGGAAATACTACCTCCTTTTTCTTCTACGTAGCATCTGTTATTGATCGATTAGTACCAACTTTTGTGACGAAAAATTGATTATTTCAATTCTGCTCAACATTTACAAAAAGTAGTACCAGTCATAGTGTAATGCAGTACCACTTTATGGCGTGATAGTACCAGATATCATGTCCCTAGTACCACTTGTAATTAACAAAAAAGAAGACCGAATTTCGGTCGCAAATGATGTTTATACGACCCATAATCACTCTTACATTAGTTTTTCTTTGATATTTGATATTTGGTGAATTAAGTTTAATGGAAAATTGGTCATGGACTCAAGACACTAATGGAAAAACACTACTTAATACACTTCAACTCATTGACTGGTACCAGTTTTTACGGATATAATACCGTTTTTCCTTCTACAAAGTACCTGTTATTGATCAATTAGTACCGGCTTTCTAAATTAAAAATGTAATACACCGATTAAAACTTCACAAAACTATTACCTATATTGCAGTATGAAATGTCAGTATATTGTACAAAAAATATTACTCATAAAGTGTCATTTACTACCCACTCTTTGGAATGAAGATGAGTACACAAGTATGGACGAGATTGCATTTTCGGATGGCTAACTGGTGATCCCATTTGTATAACGATGCATATACTCTCCATTCACAATCCACATCGCTACAACAAACGATGACCTTTTGCTTGTCATTTTTTCGATAATTAAAAGACCGCTTGTTTGCAATCGCATAGCTTTTGACACTCTTTCGAAATTCGTCGGCCACACTGAATATCTGCCCCTCTCCTTTGATGCAAGATCTCCAAGAATAGATCGATTTATCTTGCAACAACTCATCTTCTCCCTCCGAGAAATCATCAGACTGTACGTTTTTCCGATCACAACCCTCATCGCTACAACAAACGATCACCTTCTCCTGATCATTTTTCCAATACTTAAAAGAGCGCTTATTTGCAATTGCGAACCGACCAGGGTATTTTGGACAATTCATGTATATCGACCGGGGCATTTTTGGTACTTCAAGTAGGTATTTTATTCTATACAAAGGAGATGAGTTAACCTAAAACCCTAACTTTCACTCTCTCTATTCATTTCTCACGGCTGCTGCTCCCACTGAGCAAAGCTTTCTTCATCTCTCTCATACTGACTTGAGCGTCGGAGGCGCTACACCGAAAATACTTCTGGCATTGAGTTCTTGGAAAAATCGTGTTTATATAGGATTTCTGTGTATTTTTTTGGTAATTGTTTGTTAGAGAGATTGATGAAGAAGGCGAGGAAAATTAGAAAGACATAAAGACCCCCCGCTAAGGCACCGCCTCCTTTAGATAAGAAAAAAAAAACATCAAGCCCCTCAGACTTATCTTTATGATGTCCATCATCGGGGTATATATATGTATATTTAATGGGCCCGATATTATTACAAGCAGTGTTGTTTTTGAGCCTTAACAATAAGATAAAACATAACAATTGATTTAATACATATTCACGTGTAATATCTTAATAGGCAAGGCTAAAATTAGGTTATATCTCAAAATAATTATATTTTAAGGATATTCGATTTGACATCCATATTGCATATATAAAATAAAAAATATTTACATCTGTCATTATAAATAAATAAAACTATATTTATTAAAAAAATAATTTGAAAAATATGAAGACAACATAAATTATTTTATGAAAAATATAATAAAAATCTAATTCAGTAATACACCATAAAATAATCATTTTAGTGCATTTTAAGGATATTTTGAGCCTTAACAATAAGATAAAACATAACAATTGATTTAATACATATTCACGTGTAATATCTTAATAGGCAAGGCTAAAATTAGGTTATATCTGAAAATAATTATATTTTAA